ATTAGGTGTCTATTTACTTGTGACCACTCAGTGTATATGTATATACATCTGTCAGGAGCAAGCTATTTAATGCATTTGTAGGAACTATAATTCAGTTAGTGACTCATACAATGAGTCTTTTACAATAATTTTGAAAAAATCTTTTACAAAATCAAAATATAGGTAAAACATTACACGTTTCAAAAATCAAATTACAGTTTTAGGTAGATACATACAATTATAGGCTCAAAATAATATGCAAGCGACATAACCCTATAACTGGCTTATATAAGTTTAGTACGTTATATCAAAACGAATTAGGAACCTCACTGCGTTGTTGTTGTTCTTATCACAACCTTTGGTCATGCTTTATATGACGACCGTGCATCTTGATAATAGCTCTATACCGTAGTTTCTGTTGTAAAAAGCTCCCACTTAAGGTTGTAAGTACTCTTTTCTGATTGTTTGCCATAATTCATCCGGTATACGAAAACGACGGTTTTCCAATTCCGTTTCAACAGTCCAGTAACACAGTAATTTATACTCACTACGTCATACAACTTGACTGGTATATTTTCGTAGATAATAGCATTGACACGTTTCATTTTTCAGCTACTTGAGGTATGTGATTGTTAAACAGAAGGTATAACTGAAAGCCTTACCTTGGTGAACTCATACTTTTTTGGCCTTGTTTCCAGACGATTATTCTTCTGTTGATTATGTTGCGTACTTTTGCCTCAAACACGTGGATGAAATTTGCCAATGAGCTTTGTGTTCATGGTTTCTCACCTGTCACAAGACGACGCACCTTACTTACAGCGGCTGGGGTATACTTGTCTCTTTTTGGATGGTCCTGGTGCCCCAAGTTTATCCACACCCCTTTGTTTCTTAATGTCATTCAGTACCAGGGTTATTCCCATTTGTAGCCCTCTAGTGGCACAGCGGTATGTCTGCGGACTTACAGCGCTAGAATGCGGATTTATATACCCATGGTGGGCAGAGCACAGATAGCTCATTGTGTGGCTTTGTACGTAACTTCAAACAAACAAACCCCATCTTGTAACTTCTAAATTCTCTATCTAATCATATTGTTATGATCAGAATGTACGAATATTTTGAGCTGTAGAGAGCTGTTACATAACCTTTCTAAAAGTGATCAGTTTTCGATGGCAACAAACTACCTCCAAAATGACAACAAATGTCAAACTGTAGTTCTGATACATCCCGTACCATTGCAATTTTATATCGACATACTCGAAATATTTTGTAATATAACGAAATCAACCCTCTGTTTAATGAAACTTTTATTATTTTTAACCAGCGTTTGAAATTTTTCAAAACTTTCTTCTGAATACTGATTGGTTGCTGTGTCCGCTGTAGACAGACTTCACAAATATTGTTCTATGATCTAATTGTAACTATTTTGTAGACTGCTACAAAATATTACAGTTTATGAAATTACAATGAGGCAGGGGAACTTGTAAATATCATGGGTAGTTTTAAGCAATTCAAGCATCATTACTAATGATCAGTAAGGATATTTTTGTAACTTACTTTTCAGGAAACTCATTTGTGCAAATTTCTGATTATATCCTTGGATACTATAAATCTCCCTTGTCCAGAATACTTGTTTTGTTCAAACAACGGTTAATATTTAATTATTCATAAAGTTTATTCTGAACTCTTTTATTAAAATCTTGAGAACTCAGGAAACACAACTGAAAATTTTAATTATGCATATGATAAAAATAGTTGGGGGGGGGGAGATTCAACATTAGCTGTCATTATTATCACTAGCAAAAAGCACCGCGTGCAGTCAAACGTGCTATATTCGGTTAACAAGTAAACGCTAGTGCATTTATTTACTTGAACAGATCTGCCATAATTTATGACAAAAACTTTGAAGTTTGTAAGTTTATTTAACAATAGCTTTACTTATGATTCAACTTCGACCATTAATTTCACATCATAAAACGTGACTGATTAATCACTCATGAAATAGCGTTAATTTTGTATTGTTTTAGAAACAGTATGTCTTAGTTTGTTTAATTGTGATATGTGTTGGTGATTTATTGGTTCACTTAAACCATTGTACATGTTCATCGTAATTTGCTTATTAAGAAAGGTATTCCATAATTCATTTCGAATATATATAAATAATTTTTTCCTTTGAAAGCACACAGTTATTACCTGTAAGGATAGGAAAAAGATACTTCGATTTTGTCTTTTTTTTAAATTCGTATTTTAAAGGTGAAATTAGTATATGTTAAGTCGCGTTACATGTTACAGAATATTATTTTCAGTTTTATTTATTCATGCCAACTTGAAAATGTGATTTCAAACTATCTGATAATTAGCAAACTTCTTCAAAAAACAGGGTGGTTTCATTGCTTTATTAATCTTATAAATTGTCTCAGAACAGAGCACGATTTTCACTCCAACATATACTAAAGTTCCCAATTTTGTAACTTATACATATATATATATGTTAACACATACATATATATATATTAACACACACACACACATATATATATAAATATTTATACATTAACACACACACCTAAAGTAAAACACAAAATAATTCAAATACACTAATGATGTATTGCTTTATTTTCCATTTTTTTCCTTCTCTTTTTCATTCACGTCATACTCGTAAAGTGGCTCTGAGATATTAGTTGAAACATACATTAACAAAAACAATAACTTATATGTTTAATTTAAGTATTTCATTATCAGAAAACATGTACTATAAGATACAGAAATATCTGCAAATATGTTTACTAAATTATACACTAATAAATGTAAGTTGATGTTTCTAAAATATGGAGTTTATGTCATTAGGTAATCTTAATGGGGTCTTTGGGGGCTAGCTAACATAATGATTACTTATGTAATTTTCTGAAATCAATTTACAGTGGTGAGTGACGTCTTACTAAAAGTTAATTTTTTTGAAACATAAATGCATACGGTAATTCAATGTGTCTTGCGATTTCCCATTCGCTCAAACTACAGGGATTTAGTACAAATTTTAAAAAGTCCAATTCAAAGCTTGCATATCACATCACTTATATTATGGCATCCCTTGAAAATATGATGCAAGTATCAGAAACTAAACAGTTTAAAAATAAGATGCGAAAACTTTTTTTTTTCATTGAAATTAACTTATGTAGATGAAAGATGAAAATATTAAAAACAAATTATAACACAAAAAGGCCACTCGACCATAATGTATAATGTGAACTGTCTTGTTGATAAAAATTGAATATCGTTGAGACATAACAACATGAGTAAAAACTAAAACAGACAAATTCGATGTTCGATTCATAGTGATAATTAGTATGTAAGATATAAATAATAGTCGTATGAGGTATCCTGTAAGCGTCAGATGTGGTAGAATTCCTAGAAGCTAGAAGGCAGACCATACGAGCTATTATTTCAGAGCAATAAAATATAACCACCTTCATAAATATGATATTATATCATGCATATGGAATATGAAGGTATGTAACTTAATACGTGATGTAAATATTACCTTACCTTTCGGTACACACAATGTATTACATCTTATAGAGTCCTTGATGCACGTGTAGGCTCACTGAGTTACTGGAGTGTTCTTTGTATTCAAGTTTAATTATTCATTATTTTTTCATAGTTGGTGGCTGAAATAAAATGTTATAGTTGGAAGAGATTTTTTAGGTATCATACTTCTCAAACTTATTATTGTTTACGAACTGCTTCTAACTACACAAAGTAAAAAATGAGCCACATTATTGACTGTGATATCTAAATACGCGATGAAAGAATACAGAACAAGGGAGCCTTATGAACACACAAACAAACACAGATTCGATTCTTACTGATATCCTACAAAGTTGTACTTTTTAACATACAATATGTTCATTACAGTTAGAGCTTCAGAGTGATAGATAAAGCGTAATATTCTCTTGGTATCACTTTTGTAATCTAGCTTAATCAAACTGTCTAAGAAGAAACACACCGGTTTAATTCACACCAGAAGTCGTACATATTGATTTCAAAAAACCTTATGCAATTTACAAAAAAAAATTAATCTTTTTTTCCTCCTCAGTCTTTAAACGTATGTCGCTAAAATTGACAACTTTTTTATCATCTTTATGATACACACATAACGTCTTTGGCATTTCATTCTCGAAATACGTTTTTTTTGGTGTTCTTTAACGTCTTTTTTTACTAGTTTTTCATTTTTGAATGTTTTTTCGGATTTCCTTCATCTTTCCAGCATAGAAGCCATGTTTCCAAAACATAATACAGTGGTACTAATAAATCCTTTGTTTGCTAGAAATGTTTTCGACGGTTTAAATATAAGCAACGTTAAGTGTTAGCTTGTTATTCCTTTAGTTTCTTATTGACCGAACTATAATTTAAGGCCTATAATGCCTATTTCAATAAACTGCAGTTTGTATAAGTACAGGGCATTTCCCGATTCATGTCCTAATACAAAACAGATAAAATAAATGTAATCACATATTATACTCTATCTAATATTTGGAGCCACGTTTAAATGTAAATAGCATCTTGAGCATCAAAGTCATTGGTGTTTTTTGTTTCTTTGTTTTTGAGAGCACAAACCAACTGCAAGATTGTTTTGGAGAATCTGCCAACATCTTCTGAAGGTTACTATTTTAATAAGTCTGAGTCTTGGAGTTAGAGCACATTGTAAAATTCACGATTATCTTTCTTGAGTCTTCGACACATATGCATATATATAATCTTTGTTCGTTATTTTCTCTAAAGTTCATGGGACTATCAAAATAAGAGCAAACATCATCAATACCGGAATCATATCTATTTTCCAAGGGGCTAATCCTGAAAAATATAAGAAAAATAATAATTGTTTAAAAGTATTCAGAAACAATTCTCTAACACGTTTTTCAGTGTCTACTAAAAACTGTAATAAACATACAGAAGTAAAGAGTTTGTCCAAATTCAGCAATGGGCATCTTAGTAAGTTTATGGAATATTATTAATGTGTTTGAAACATTACTTCATTTTCTGATGCGAGTATGTCAATAATGTTATTATCTGGATCTAAAGTTGACAAAAGCATTTATGATGAATAATCAGAAAATGAAGAGTTAACGTATGCCAAAAAGCCTGCTGATTGGAAAGAATAACAGATGAAATATGTCTATGTGATAAATGACTGTATACAGCCTACCAAGATCTCAATACACATCCACTCCAGAAATAATAACGTTTTATTAAAGGAGCATCATGGAACATGCGTACAAGTGTACCATTAATATATAGTGGATCTACTCTTTACAATATTTAAAGCTGAAATAAAGTTACACATCGCATTCATAAGATCCGAAACTTGGGTCTGTGGGATTCTATCCCACTTTTAATGAAGAACTTGGCTGAAGGTGCCAATAGAAGTTGGTTGTTTGGGATGCAGGAAAGTATCAAGGATGGACTACACATGAACCACGGGGTTAATGTCTGGCGATTGGCTTGGTCACGGGAAAGAGGTGATGTCCTGATCATCAAGGCATCGCTGTGCAACTCTAGCTGAATGAATCTGATTCTCATCTAGCATGAAAACACTGCTTTGTTAGACAAGTTGATCATTGGTATGACATGACTTGCTGTCATACCACCGGTTGTGTCCAAACGACACTCCATATCTTGGCTTGCAGAAGGTTAAAGGAAAGTACCCGGAGTATAGTCGCCGCGGACAGATGAGTCTACTGCCAAGAATTTTGGAAATCTGGACCCTCCGGAAAATTCACAGTATCCTAAAAAGCAGGAGAATGAGATAGTATAATTGATGACCACTGGTGTTGATATTGTCTGGAGGATGGAGCGTTTCCGTTTAACTACACTGCCATTATAGTCCATGCTATAAAGATAACATCTGATGGTATTGAAGCACACTAGTAACTGTCCTGCAAAAATAGCGGCTGTTTGACATGAGTCAGACGACTGCTCCCCTTACTTGCACACACATTAGTTTTGTTTTTTTGGTTTGTTTTTGAATTTCGCGCAAAGCTACACGAGGGCTATCTGCGCTAG